TGACCGGAGAGTGTCTTGAGCTCTTTGAAAAGATTGTAGAGCAGACCTGGTAGCGAAAGAGTTAAATCAGTAAGTTATGGGTTCCCCCTTTCTCTTTCCGCAGGTGGTCAGAAAATGGAGTGTTTTGACGCGCTGTTCGGAGGTAATGTCATGAAAACAGAAATAAACAACAAAACCAGACAGTTCTTATGACGCAGAAGTTTTGGGACAACTGGAAAGGTCAGACGCCTCGTTAACACAGTTTAGTACAATGTATCTCGCTGGACTTCAGAACGGATGACCTTTGTTCGAATCCCAGACACGGCGTTCTTGAACCCTGCTCGTTTTGTGGAGTTTTCAAAGCTCTCAATCCATTTGACTCGATCCTATCGGAGACCGACTTTAAATTCGGAGGTCCCGCCTCTTAAATAACCTAATAGTGTTGGTAGGGGCGTTGAACCCTTACACAAACTTAAAGTGGAAAGTGGAAAGGTCATGTGTTTCACAATGCGGAAAGAAAACTAATTCAAGCCTTGTTTTTTATGGCCGTAGTATTAAAACATTTGAAGCCTGGTGTAAGTGTAAGCATGTTGACCCTTAGATTGGAAGGAACAATAAACTTTTATCAGTGGGAGTTAACATTTTGTTGGGGAATTTCGAAGTGAATTGCACGCTGGTTGTGCGCTACAGGAGTCTCATAAGATTGTGTATTATGTGTGTTTTAATGTCTGGCTGGAATCTCATTGATCGTAGGTGGTCAGTTACTGTATGCGTTGGACGGTTGGGCAAAGGAGAAACTTATATGTAAAGAGGAAAGAGTAAAAGAAGACTGTTGTACTACCCCTCTGACAGTATTTGTTTATGAGCGCTTCGTTTTCAATAAGAGGAGGAGGAGGAAGAGAGGGAAGATATGAAAGAGGGGGAGGAGGAGAAAGAAAGGGAGGAGGAGGAGGAAGAGGGGGGTGAGGATGACTATGAGGACGAGGGTGAGGATGTGGGTGAGGACGAGAGGACGAGGAGGAAGATGAAAAGGAGGACGAGAAGGAGGCGGAGGAGGAGATGGGGAGGGGGACGAGGTGGACTGGAAGGAAGAGGAGGTAGAGCCAGCTTTTATCATTTATGTTGTACACGTTGTTTTCCAAAAGTGTCTGCATACATTCAGGGTATACGAGATAAAAGTCAATGCAAAATAAAATCAAGGCCTGTCCTTTTATTTCGCACAAACACCCGCTTTCTGCGCTTTTGTTGAGTAACGGTTATCAAGCTTTTTGGGATTTCTTTTCGAATCGATGGCTCAAGAAACTAGAAACCTAGAAACAACACATTGTTACGACTAC